GCCCGTGCTGCTGCTGCGTTTTCCTCTCTTCTTCTTTCCGTTTCTCTTCCTCTTTTCGCTGCTGCTGCTGTACGGGTGTCGGACCTGCGTTTCGTTCGTAGAAGGATCGCTTCCACCTTGTCGGCTGCAGGCTTGATACCAGCGGCTCCTATACTATATCCCAAGTACGTAAGTTCCTGTTGTCCAAACTTGCATTTTGACAGCCGAGGGTAGAACTGGTGTTTTAGGAAAATGCCGAGGACGTGCTGTAGGAGTGTGATGTGGGTTTCCAAGGTCGTGCTGTATATAAGAACATCGTCTAGATAGGCAATAACGCCATGACCTAGTAATGGTTGGAGATATGCGTTAATCTCTGCCTGGAATGTGGCAGGTGCTCCTTTGAGGCCGAAGGGCATTACTTTATATTCAAAGAGGCCTTGTACTGAGCGGAAGGCCGTTTTCCATCTATCCTCCAGCGCCATGCGAATTTGGTGAAATCCCGCTTCCACGTCCAAAGTCGGAAAATATGCGGCGCCGCCGAGCATCTCCAAAACAGTTTGCACATTTGGCATCGGGAACTCAGGAGCTATCGTTAGCGCGTTTACCGCTTGGTAATTGACGACAATTCGCATCTTCCGTTCACCGGATCCATCATCTCGTTTGTCGTAGGAGCGCAAATCGGTGAGTAAGTGGGCCCAATCCATCCCTTAGCAGTTAAACGTGCTATCTCCTTGGTGTGATAAGCCAGCTGTTCAGATGGCATCTTGTATAGGGGCGCGCGCGTCGGTAACCTGCCGGGTAAAAGGAGGATTCGATGATCGTAAGGTCTCTTGGGTGGCAATCCGTCAGGCAGACTATCGGGAAGCAGGAGTCGATGTTGACGCAGAACGGTAAGAATCTGTGTAGGCAAACGAAGAGCCTCCGGACAGTATATTGTAGCTTAGCTGTAGGCCATGGTGAGTCGTCTATATCCACAGATGGTGGTGGCGCCGTATCTATAGGCTTGATCGGCGGAGCGCCTGGCTCAACGTGTATTACTTTCAGGTGTTTTACAATCGCGCACAGAAGGGGACCCTGACGCTCTATGGGAACGTGAACGACACGATCAGGTTCTGCTGCCGATAGGAAAACTACGCAGTGTAATCCTTCTAAAGCCCGCTTTAAAGCTGCTGTGTCTTCCCGCGCCTCCCGTAGGATATCCTTTATTCTCACCCGACCACGAGCACGGTGCCTGGATTTGTAACGTTTGGTGGGGGGTCGAAGAAGGGCTGCAGCCTCTTCCGCTGACATTCTATCAACCTGCCTAGCCAAATCGTCATATGCGTGGTCCGCCGCCGTCTTGACTGGTTCCGCGTAAGCCTGAGTGCCCTGACTCGAGTCGCCCTCTCTACACAAGACCGGCCGATCGCACCACCGCCCATTTACATAAGTCCTGAGCTTGTCCGACTGAAAATACCACGCCACTTTGTGGTTAACGAGCCAATCAATCCCGAGAATGACAGCATACGGTATTGGCCCTACAAGGAAATCCCCGGTGGAGCACTCTCCTCAGCAGAGCATCGACAACCTTGGTACCTCCCTATCGATGAGTATGACTTCACCGTTGGCTACTGTGAAGGGGTGTGCCTCCTGCAGGAAGCGTACCCTCAAGCCCAATCGTTCCACAATAGCCGGGCGGATAAAGCTCCTGGACGCCCTTGTATCCAGCAGTCCTTCACACTTATGGCCCACTATTTCGAGTTGCAATACCGCCGTCTTGCCCACACTACAAAGGGATCCATGGTATTCTGGTGCGCGTTCTGCAGCATCTCCTTCTTGCCACCATAATCACCCAGGTACCATCGTTGTCCCCTCGTCGCCACGGCTCGTTGGGTTCTCCTTCCTCTCGCCCTCTCCGTCGGCCGGTGCACTCCGTTCCTCTCGCCTTTGCTCTCCTCCGTCCGTAGACGCACCTCAATGGATCGATCCTCCGTCCATCGTATTCCCATGACCTCCCCTGCGCTCCTTCACGGCATTCCCTGTCCAGCCGAAAGCCGTTCCTCCCCTTCCGTCCATCTCGCCCCCGTTATCGCGTACCGCGCCACAACTTAGTAGCAGCACGCGCCTCTGTGGGTGGGAATCACCCTCTCCCTGTCCATTCTTTATCCGTTCCCCTTCTGTCCTCGACATGGCATCGCTCTTTGTCCCGGACGGACGGTCCAGCCCGGTACCCCTGTCGAGCGTACTCCGTCTGCCTTCCCCTTTGCCATGCAGCCCCCGGTTCAGGGAGACTGTGATGGCATTTGGCCCAGTTGCGGCCTGGCCTCCGTTGCCACCTCTGGGTAGCTCTGGCCTAGCGCGTTCGTCTCCCTTAACGACTAGGCCTGGTCGTTTAACCGGTCTGCTCCCGCAGTGCCGTCCGTAAGGGCTGGCATCGAACTCCGTCCCTCCTACCGCCCCGGCGGCGTTCGTTGGGTTGTTAAACAATCCCTAGCGTAATTGTTTCTTCCTCCACACTTAGAGCAGGTTTCACCCTTACGTCTAGTCGATCCGTTACGCAAGGGGCAGTCCCTTCCCAAATGCCCCTTTCCCATGCATTCATAACAGCGAACCAAAACGTTTTCGTCTGCCGTATTCCCCCTTCCTGTCGGGGTCCGCCTTAAAGCGTTCGTATACCCGCCGGGNTTCGTCTGCCGTATTCCCCCTTCCTGTCGGGGTCCGCCTTAAAGCGTTCGTATACCCGCCGGGTCCCGATCAACGCTTCGCGTTTGCGAACTCCTGCTCGTAACGCAGCCTCTTCGCGCGCCAGGCCTCGAACGGCGCATCCCGTTCACTCAGGGCTGTGGCTGCCTCTTGCCAGTCGTGGAAGACCCTGGTCCCCTCTCGATTCAGTTTGTTGCATATGTCCATTGGTATGTTCGTAAGGAAGCACAGCACCAGATCCTCAGCCGCTAAAGTCTCTCCTTGTGCAACTATTTCGGCAAATCGCGCGATGTACTCGTTATGGTCACCCCGCCATGTATTCCATGTCATTCGCTCCAGCATCCTATCGGGCGACATGGTGCAGAACCTTGCGCATAGTCTCTCTCGTACGAGTTGCCAATCAGATAATTCCGTCCCCGAGCGTTGCATGAGTTCCCAATGCACCATGGCCTTGCCCGTCAAGTATTTCCTTAATTCGAGTCCCCACTGATCTTCTGGTATCTGCAGTTCTCTGAATTCCCCTTCTACCAGGAAAAGGAAGGCACGCGTGTTGGTTCCATCGTCGGTCGCCGCGATTCCCCTCCGATTAGAGCCCTCTTTCTGGGAGTTGGTTCGGCTTTCGTCCGTCATCTGTGGAAGCAACTTCAATAACTCCATTTCCCACTTGGAAGGGGGTTTCTCAAGGTCCCTGGTTCCTTCAGCGTCGAGGTCCTGGATCCTAGCCGATGTCGAGCGCTTCCTGCTCACGGTTGGCCCGCTTTCCCGATGGGATCTTCTCCTCCGCGGTTCGGGGAAATGCCCCGCAATTTCTTTCGGTGGGCTTTCAATGTCAGAAATTTCCTCGGTTGGCGTAAGTGGAAGTCCCGTCGGCCTTCCGCTGTGGGGTTGCATAACAAGTGTCCCACCGTCCCTTGGGTGCGGACGTCCCTGCGGGTTCGTGAATTTAGGAATTTTTCCTATAAAGGAAAGGGTTTTGGTTATATTTGTGGAAGGAATTTCGCCTTTCCTTTCCCGGAACAGCCCCCAAATGTAATGCCTGGCTGCATCTAAGTCCCTCGCGCGGAACCCGCTAGAGTGCAGTAGTACGTAGCTATTACGAAGCGGATCTACGGTGCTAATCGTTTCAAATAGTAATACGAGTAGTTTCGTGGACAAATA